AGAGAGAGAGAGAGAGAGAGAGAGAGAGAGAGAGAGAGAGAGAGAGAGAGAGAGAGAGAGAGAGAGAGAGAGAGTCCTTTCTGTGCATGCGGAATATCGCCTGCGTAAGGGCCTCGCTCCACAAGTCACCACAACACCGTTTTGGTAAGTGGCCTCACCCCTCCACCACTCACCACTGACCGTTTTGGTGAATGGCAGAAGAAGGGCCTCGTTGCACTACTCGCCTTCCCCCAACATCTTGATTGCATGTGGACATCATCTTTGTCCAGATGCCTTTGAATTCTTGGCGGACACTACTTGCCTTCCCCCAACATCTTGATTGCATGTGGACATCATCTTTGTCCAGATGCCTTTGAATTCTTGGCGGATGGCGAGTAGTGCAACTAGGGCCGAATTCTGTTTTGCTGTGGTGAGTGGGCTGTGGTGAGCACTCACCACGCTGTTGGTTTTGCTTTTCCCCGCCCTCAATGGCAGGGTTGTTGCGGGACCACCTCTCACGGCCTCAACAAAAGTGATGAGCTCATGGCACTAGAAGACAAGACCAGGGGCAGTCTCAGCCGGCCCGAGCCTTGTCTTGTAGTGCGGTCAGTGGTGGAGCGAGGCCCTAAGTCTATTTCAACAGTTCACTGAGTTTACTCCCAGTTTTTTTTTTCTTTGTTTTTTTTTGGAGAGAGAAAACTTTTATTACTCAAGCGTTATGAATTTGGTTCTCTCAATTTTTACCAACACTCACACACAGACAATCTCACGCACGCCCATACATGCATAAGAAGAAGAGGAGAGGAGACAGAGTACACACTGCACACAGACAGAGTAAGCAGTGGAAAACCACTATGCACAGGTGTGGAGATAACACTCAGCGTTTCTCACTCTCTGACAATACTCCCGACGACCAATCACAAGAAGACACCTGCGAGGATAACAAAAGAACAGTCCAAGATTGAGCCGATCTGAACCAATATCATTACAGAGTTTGTCTCAGTATCTTGCCACCACGGAACCACACACTCCACTCCCTAAGCTACACCCAGTTAGTAGCGCTACACAACATCAGCCTCCCAGAGGTCTGAGCTAACCGCCCAGATGGAGAACAGGAACTTCGATGTAATCCTCAGTGCCGATGAGCAACTTTGGCGAAGAAAGCTGCAGCTATGGCTGCAGCGCCACTGTAGATGCCATGCACGATCTCAAGGAAAATGCAGCGACAGTGGTCCACCCACGAACACC